CCAATTTACCCACCGAACCCTTCAGCACCAGCTGGGGAGCCCCAAGAACGAGCTCTCTCTGCTGCCTTTCCCCTGTCCCACTCTGAAAACATCAAGTACTGGCAAAGAGCTGTGGCCATTGCTATGAGAACCTGGCTGTAGGCTCCTTGCTGCAGCTAATTTCCCCTCCTCCCTGGAAGCAACAGTGAACTTCTGTTTGGTTTGGCGTGATGTAACTCAGAATGCTTTGCAAAAATTGTTCTGAGTTACAGCTGGGAGCTGCACTTCTGTTTGCATCCCTGTATTCTGACCATCATGCCACAGGGCAACAAAAGACCACTTGAGAATTGGGTGCCACATGTGATCCCAATCAAGAATGCCAGGAATGTGCTGCTAGAGGTATAAGGCTATCCTGGGTCCATCTACACATGCAATTAATGCAATGCAAACAAACTCTGGAGCACTTTGAGCTGGAGTACACTGCTCCCAGGCACAACATCTACACATGTGCCTGGGACAGCAGCACTTTCAGCTGGGGTGGAGCAGGCTTAGGGGACAAGGGGGTCAGTCCTGGGCTCCAGGTGTTGGCATCGGGCAGTGGAGGTGCTGGCTGGGTCACGGGAGTGCCCAACATGCAGAATGTGTGGCTTGGTAGTAGGCAGGGGCCTGGCCCCGTGTTGCCTGGGCTGACTGGACACAACTTACACCCATGGTCAGCATTTGCAAGTGTGTTTCAGTGCACTATCTGACCCTACCATAAAATAGTATTGTTCCCAACAGTACTATCTTATGATGGAGTTAATTAGCTTGCTGCACCGTAATACTAGCGCACATGCAGTCTGTGATACTTTACTGCAGAGCTAGTTAGTCTACTCTGCATGTATCACACTTGTAGATGCACCTAGTGGGTATATCTACATTGCTCTGTGCTAATAGCACTTAAACTCCAGCACATATCACGGCAGACTAATTTACTATGCAGTAAAGCATCACTGTCTATATGTGTGCAGTAACTGAGCCAGTGTAGACTAATTTACGGCACCAGCAGATAATCCCATCAGACACAGGTTGTGCCCAACAGCAGAATAAATTATTGTGTTTAACCACATGTGTAGATGGTGACGTTGGGATTATTTTACTCTGGCTCAAATTGCACTGGAGTTTATTCAGTCACATTAATTGAACATGTAGATGCACTCTTTGTGTCTGAAACCATTACACTGATTCATTCCTCTTACAGTTATTATTTTGCAGAAGCTAAAGGAAAAATATCCAACCCCACTTGTCAGCGGTGGTCCAGCCCTGCCGGGGGGTGGAGGGGAGGGGGGGGGGCAATACCGTGATATAATCAACGGAAAAGTGACACTTTCATCATTTGAAACCCCAGCAGCTTGATAGTATGCTGTTTAATCCCTCTTCAGGTGCCATGAGACAAAACACTAAGGAACTCAGAAGTAGGTAATGGTTGTCTTATATTGATCTGGAAAATACTGTACATGGCAGGTTATTTGCACCATCTGTTGCAGAAATGTCAGTCAAGAGAAGCATGGTAGACACCTATGGATGTCAAAGTTGAAAAATAATTTAGAGAAAGGAAAGGAATTCCAGTGGGAAGAATTCTGTGGAAATGAACAATTTAGGCTGTCAAGAGGATGAGAACTTGTTGGGAGGAGGAGCAGCTGCTACAACAGGAACCAGTTCTGAATAGTTCTGAATTCCCCCTCAATCTACAAGCCTCCTTTCTTCACGCTCAGTCAGCTGGGCATTGAGTTTATTTTGTGTTCCACAGTAACTTTTTAGCATTTTTCACAGCACATGGTGGGGGCAAAGATGGCTGCAACAAATGAATATAAAAAAAAGAAATAGCTGTGGGTCCAGGTGAAGGTTGCTGTTACCATTAAGTGTAGCTGCCTTTAACAAATTGTATTTAGCATTTAATATAAGCATCCCCATTATGTTGAACAATATTCTTATAAATTCCTATAAACTTGCCCTAATTTAACAGCTCCAAAACTGCAGTTTTGAGCAGCTTGGGCACATCCCAATCAGCACACATGTGCAGGGGTGTGCATTTCCCATGGGAAAAATAGTAGCAGCACTTATTTGTGCTGCTATTTGTCCATGGGCATGCCCCTGCATGTGCACTTCAGTGCATGACAAAATGACCTAGGTGGGATAGGGGAGCCTGGGGCCAGCATTTGTGCTGGCCCCAGCAGCTTTATCTGGGGTCCTGCAGGCCTCCTGGAGCAGCAGCAGCACTAAGCTGGCTACAAGACCCTGGACGGTAACCAAATTGTAGCCCTGGCCAGCCAGGCTCCATTTCTGGTTGCTCACACTGCTGCCACACGTGCTACACCATTTTTTAACACTGGGATCCCCCTGTGTAAAAAAACCCCTGCTATACAGCAAATTAGCAGCATGGTGAACAGGTGCACATGTGCTGTGTGTGGTTTGTGGTGCCACAAACTACTCTGAGGTGCCACAAACTGCACATTCACGCTCATCAGGATATATCCCTTTTGTTTAAAAGATAATGACAATGTAGAAACTGTTCAGAAGAGATCAATAAAAAGAACTTTATAGAGAAAGACCTAGGATCCAAGGAAAGGCCAAGAGGTTTGATCACCTGGACATGGCAGAGTACTGTCTTCAAGCACAAACAGGAGAGTTATAAGAGCAGGCATCAGGTGTTCTCATTAGACAATGAAGCCAAACAAAAGTAGTAAATTAAATCAGCAACAAAAACACAATTGACTTCCAGATTTTTAAACATAACTTTAAATATCTTCAAGTACAAGTTATGGAGTAAAGTGACCTGTGCGACTGTCATTGTTAGAAATGTTGTTACTGCACTAGTGTCTGATATGCAAGAAGTGATAAGCACCCTTGGAAGTGTAAGGATGAAGATCAATCTTTCAATCAAAGCAAGAGGCATAGAGGGGAAGATGTGGAATAGAGAGCTAAGGAACTTGTGGAATCTCTTTTGTTAGAGATTTTCAAGAGGATGCTGGAGAAGCATTGGATAGGAATGATTTAGGAACAGGCATGCCTGCATGTCAGCAGGGGTTAGACGAGATGACCCAATGTTGAGTTCTGTTCCAATCCTATGTTTCTATTGTTTATGTTATTCAAGTTAAAGAAATATGGATATAGGTACTGTTACAACACAGTAAGATGAATTAGGCGATGCATTTGAGGTCCATATTGTATATCCATTAAATGAACATGAGCCACTAATGCGATGCTATAGCTGGCAAAGCAAACACCACTGTGGCATGCATCAATCGATGCATCACAAGCAAGATTAAAGAAGTCATCCTCCTGCTCTACTCAGCGTTGGTGAGGCCACAGCTGGAGTACTGCATCCAGTTCTGGGCACTGGACTTCAAGAGGAATGTAGAGAAGCTGGAAAGAGTCCAAAGGAGGGTCACACAAATGATTAGATGTCTGGAGAACAGACCATACAAGGAGAGGCTGAGGGACATGTCCTGGAAAGCCGAAGACTCAGGGAGACTTGGTGGCAGCCTTTATGTATATGAGGGATGAAGAGAACATCTGTTCACCAGACACTCCAGGGGAAGAATAGGAGTAATGGTCATAAACTCATAGAAGATCGCTTCAGATTAGACATAAGGAAAGCCTTATTTATGATTCATCTGTCCAGCACGTGGAACAAACTCCCCCCAGAGGTGGTACAGTCACTTTCCTTGGAGATCCTCAAAAGACAACTGGATGCACACCTTGCTGGGGGTCACCTGACCTCAGCAGTCTTTCCTGCCTTAGAGCAGGGGGCTGGACCTGATGATCTTGTGAGGTCCCTTCCAACCCCTAATCTCTATGAAACTATGAATATTCTTAGAAAAGTTTATGGGGAAAAATGAGAGAATGTGCATTGCAAGGTGATTAGTAAGAAAGGGAAAAGTATGGGAAAATCTGAGAGGAGTAGAGCACATAGAAAAGACAGTGTCCAAGAAATTGAAGCTAATTAGAAAATGTTCACTTCAGGGCTGCATTTGCTTAAGTCAAAAGCATGCTAGGAAAAAGCGGTCATCCAAGACACACATGCTTTGTCGCCGTGAGGAACTGCAGACATGACCTTTACAGCACGTCAAATCCAGGAGAAGTGTCGTGAGCAAAACTTCTACTACGTATGTGGTAAATCCATAAAGATTTAAAAAAGCCATATCAAGTATATGCAAACACATCCCTCCTCCCTGTAGTTACAAAGTCCATCTATGAGAAGGAGAGGAAAGCAGCTAACACTATGGCGTTGTGTCTAAGTTACTTGCCATTGTAAGTGCTAATCAATATTTCTCAATTTCTGTAAAGCCTGAAGCAGTCCAATAAAATAAAATAAAATAAAATAAAATATAAATGCTTACCCAGTTTTCAGGCTGACCAAGGCATCTTCAACTCCTTTCTGATTGTACTTTGTCATATAGAGGTGCATATCTGGGTAATTGTTTCTGATATTTCTCTCTGTGCTCCCATTTGGAACCGTTCCAAATCGAAATGGGGGTGAATAATCATATGGCCTTTGAAACTAGAAAGAAGGGGAACAAACAATGAGTTCAAATACTTAGAAAAGGCAGCTCTGAAGACATTACTTAAGTGTCAAAAATAAGCAGAGTGACCTCTTCAAAAATAATTTGCATAGGTTGCTTCAGTGAAAGGTGCCATATCACCTGCTTAAAGGCCAATTTGTTTCTGTAATGTTGAACTGATATCTCCTGCCAAAGCCCTTCTCAGATGTAGATACAGGACCTGTGATACGCGAGGCTGATATTTGAACAAAGCAAATAACACCAAGTCTCCACATACGTCTAACTGCTTTGAAACACAGTGATGTGAACTGGAATATAGTGTGACTGTCAGAAAGCAATTTTCTTTTTAGACTTCTTGTAAAACATTTTAAAACTTCTTAGTCTCTACAATATCCTTAAATTAGATATAGACAACCTCATTTTTATGGTAAAGAAAGGAAATATGCTCTTATTCAAATGGCAATCAATCCATTTTTACCATCTTGCATTATGCCTTCTACTATTGTAATAAAAATTATCAGCAGGCTCATCTAAAATCCTTATAATACATGTATTATGGTGATGTTATTATTTAGCTTGTTGAGAGAGAGAGAGAGAGAACTAGGAAAACAAGCTCAACAAGCTAAAAAATAACATGGCCATGACACACATAAATATGTATGCATATACATATAATATCCATCACGGATGTGTTATTTTATAGTGTTACACACACACACACACACACACACACACACACACACACACACACACACAGAGACAGAGCTAAAAAATAATATAATCATGATAGCCATGTTGGTTATCATAGTCTTATCATACCCATGTTATTTTTTATTTAATGACATA